AGGGCAAATGTCATCATACCATTATATTTTTTGGGTAGCACGGGATGGTACAATTGTCTCTTTATGGTAGGATGTTTAAGTATAGCGTTCGTTCTACCCCCAAAGAAAGAGTCTCTAGGATCAAGTCTCTCTTGTATATCGATATTCTCGACAAACTTTTTTGCCCATGACTTTTGCCCATTTCTGTCCGTTAAGTCATTGTCCTTTCGTAATTTAACCTCCCACGACTCTTCTAAGTATTTTGTTCGATACACTATAGAGCAGACACCGGCAATGGTAAGGTCATGAAAGGGATCTACTCCAACACTGTGCGTTTTTTCCGATTTATTCTCGTCGGTCCCATCCCCTGTTATGTCTAACTGGATGTTCCTAAAAGTCAAACACGCCTTTCTTAAAATGTCAACATCACTACGACAATACTCTATGTTTTCTTTCTTAAAGTCAAATATATGTCCATTTCCCATTTTTTCTTCGTGCCAATTTATTTTTCACGTTCTTCTTATGACATTGAATCGCAACCATAATAATGTATGTTAGGGTAGGGACCACAGTAATTTTGATTTATTTCTTTGTTAACAAAATGGGAGAAATATCCTTTTTGAGTTCTGTTAACATGAACGTATCGGGTAATTGCCCCAGTTTCATGGGTAAAACATTAACAGAATCAAGGACTCGTATGTTGAGTCCTCTTTCTACTGTCATGTACATAATTTTTGAACCCGCGTAAATAATATGTGTGGGCCTTAAGGAATTGTCTATAAGATATTCTAATAAGAAATATCCGTCGTATCCCTTCATGTTATTAGCCATAACTGTAAAGTCTTTGTGACTTTCGTTAAAAAGGCATTTACAGAAATCCGAATTGGTCGAAGTTCCTCTGAAAATGACTTCCCTGAAACCACAAGTCTCTTCACAGGGATTCTTTTCGGAACATTTTTCTTTCATATTATACGCGCTGCATTTTCTACACCTCGTTCCACAACTGTTACATTTGGTACTAGGTGCTATGTCGTCGTCTATACAAAGCTCACATGCAGTGTGAGCTATCACCAGATTTGGTCTATGTTGACTTTTGTTACAACTACTCTGGTGACAGTTTACACAACGCAAGCAAGTTTTACAGGGATCTGGCTCGCATTTACACGCCTCACAGGCAGGGTTACGCCTGAATGAGTAACCTTCCTCACAAGTCATAATGTAGTCTGACTGGCCACATTCAAAATCGAAAACAAACATATTTGGACCTTTCTTTACAGGGGTTCAATGCTCAAAGATAGCAGAGATGGTTACAAGCTACGAACTCATTACACCCCTTACACAGATATTCACCACACCTGTGCTGTTCCGGTTTCCGATTCAATGTATCAATTACTCTTTTACATGTTGTACACTTCCGATACAAATTACAATTAGACAGTGGTACTGGGTTGTTTTTCCTTTTTTTTTGCAATTGAAGATGACGATTAAAACAAGCCAGTGACTTACAAGCCATATGACAACTTCGACAGCTGACAAACCCCCATTTGTCATCATCATGACAGCCCTTTGATGCGCATACAATACAGCTCATGCACATTGATGTTTAGTTAGAGAAGCTATCAGGCAATTTGTGCAAAATTTTGATGTTCCAAACAAACCTTGGATTTTCGAAATAGCGTCGAAATGGGTATCATTTACGAAGTAAATGTATATCCTTTGCTTCTGACTGTCTTCGGCGGGTACACTGTAAAACTTGTTCCCCATTGAGGCAGACACAACCAAAACATCTACATTTAAATACTCCTCAAACTCTTTAATGTCATTCAGAATTAGCTTTCTGATATTCCCAGCAGGTCTCACATTAATCAAAAGCCAGAAATTCAGTAAATCCTGTGTATTTCTCCATTGTCTTGGATTTCTGAGTTGCTTAAAGTACCAGTAAGGACAGGTTCTATATTTCAAAATCAATTGTTCAAGAGAAATTTTGGGATCATTATCTAATTGTGTCAATTCGTGCCATTCTTCGGTCTTTACGTAATTTGCACTAAGGAATGCCATGATGATTGCTCTTGACATACAAGAATTATCAGTATTAATTATTTCTATAATAGAACGTTTTCGTTTTAAAGAATTATTATCGCCCGAAAGAGATGTTATGAATTCACCCCTCCCTCCTTTTAGAAGTTCCATTGTACCCATATCAACCCAAAAACTGTCATTAAGAGACAAACATCATGACTGTTAAGAACTTCTTCTACCTCTTCAATGACGTCACGACCACTTAGTCTGTCGGGAGGTCTAAGGGGCACCACGATGGGATTACTCAATCCATCATGGTGAATAAAAAGACTTCCCAAAGCTCTGAAGACCTTCGGTAGCCTTTGCAATGACGACATCAAACAAGATCTCTAATTTTTTATACATGTCTGATAATTTCCCCCCATCCCTACTTTTATCAAATCTTATCTCGTAATGGACGTCTTTCACAGAACTTTTTAATGTTTTTTCTCTAGTCTTAGTCATACTATAACTTAACTCTTCTTCTTCCCCTCCCACCTGTGACACATTTCCTGGCACTGGGGACTGAATATGACTGGGATCTGGCACTGGTGACTGGCACCTGCTAGCTGCAGACTCCAGAAATAGTCGTCTCCGTTTCGGAGGTGACAGTTCTGCACAGCTAAGTACCCTTATGTCTTTGTGAGATCGTTCATGGTGATAGTATTCATCGTAGTCCAAGAAATTTTCCCTTGGGCAAAAGAAACTGACGTTTTTCCTTTGCACTACATTCAAAACAAAAAATTGATATTAAATGAATATTTTCGTGCTCCCTGTAGTCTTCATAGGCAGCAAAGGTATCAAGGGCACAACAGGAACAGATGAATTTGTCAGACATCTATAAATACATTAAATGTTTTCCGTCAAAATTCTACTCAAAGGGACACAACTCTTAGGATCTCGTCAGAAGTTATGGGATATAGACCAGGAATTGAAACAGATCGACTTGTTGTTTGAGGATTATTCATTATAAAATCACTTACATTGATCTTTTCTTGATTTTCTTTTTATGATGGTAGTCTTCAACAGCAAATGAAATTCAAAGGTAACTTGTGATGAATTCAAATGTTCAGTGAAAACACACGTGATGGAGTGTTGATAAATCCTTCAATGTGTTGTCAAATATGTGATTTAGGATGTTTTTCCTTGATAAAGATCTGACGCTGTGTACGTAACAACATATACTTTATACAAATGCTTTTTTTAAATGGACATCTGCTAATTTATAATATTGTACATATCACCATAGTTATAACAATAAGTTTGAACTGATTGGTCAACGGTTTTTATTTTTGAAATTCTAATCAAAAATATCCAAACTACAAGATCAGGTTAAACTTGTTAGGTTAATTTTTAATAATGTCTCCCACAGATACAAGATCTGGACACAAGCACTAACATGTACCATTCCATTAAAAACACAAGTTTTTTCAGTACTTTTTCCATGAAAAATATTTCCTAAGGAAATCTCTTGTAACTATTTTATATTTTCGTCGAGAGACTGCTGCTATCCAAAACTTATATTTATTGATCTTGTGTACAAAGTCTATAGAAATAAATACAGAATCCTTTCATAGGTTGTATTTAACCGGAAAAAAATCTAATTATAACTCAAATGACCTATCCATACAATGCTACAGATCTGTTGACCTAATCAGACATGTTCAAAACACATACTATATCCTGTCTTCCTAACTTTATCAAGCTCTCACGTAGTTTACTAAATGCAGTTGGTCCTTTTCTGGTTAATGAACTCAAAACTGTTCTGGCTTTATCATACTTGTTTCTTTCTGTCTCTATATCTTCCACCATATAGTCTGTAAGCATGTTATGTTGATGCAGCTTGCGTACTATATCCATCGTGGGTAGATTCCTCACTGGAAATATCCAATTTTTTCTCAACTCTTGTGTTATTTTGTTAAGTATTTCACAGTTTTCTGAATAGCACTCAGAAGTTTTAGTTTTTTGTTTTAATTCTATAACCTGGTGAATGACAACCTATTGTATGAACAAAAATGTTTAAAGGAGTCCTTGCTGATCGGGTATTTTAAGCTGTTTAGTGTACAGTTAAATCTTAAGTGGAGAGAAATTATTTTTTCCGGCAACAAATGAGAACATATCTGGTTAACATTTGAAAATATTTGAATTCAATAGACTCAAACGATTAATAATTTTTTCACAGTGACCACATTCTTGAAAAATTCATCAGAGCTGAGAGATCACATTCTATTTTTGTCACAGATTACTCTCTATTTCTGCACACGCTATGTAGGGTTTTCCCTACTGACCGCATTTCTTGATTGACTTCGAAATCCACAAGCACTAGCACATACCTTACCATTAAAAACAAGTCTATTCTTGTCATGGCCATCAGTAGGTCATGTGGGGCACCAGGGAGATAATCCCAACGCAGGACGTTGACCTCTGGACACCTGTGTACCTCTAATTCAATAGGCCATACAAATCGATAACAATAGACATTTAAATCGAACACAATAGGTTCTCTTTGATGCATTGTTTTCGAACAATAGCCCATAGAAATCAAACAATAGATCTATAGAAATCAAACAAAAGATTCTTTTGTTTTCTTTTATGTTACTTCTTTACAGACATTCATGCTGCTGATATAACTTCACATTTATTATATATTCGAAAGGTTCAGGAGTTGAATAAGCATAACATTTAATTCCGAAATAATTGAAACGCTGCAGTATAAATTTATGCTTTGTTTCACTCTCTGCACTAACTTACCGTCTTTTGTAATAGATGCTTCCTTACTTTTTATTTTGAGTGATTATACGCTGGGACAAGGTGTATAGCTGGACATATATAATTCACTTCTATTTGTAAGGAGTTCAGTAAATCGGTCAGCATGCCGCTTTAGGTTATTTAAATTATGTCATTTTACCGGGCTGCTTTCGATATAACACTGCAAATAACGACCCAGTCTCAAAGTAACTTACTGGTAGAACTGGCGGCTTTGTTTTGTTGGGACCTGCAATTATTGAAACGACACAAAATGGCATGTTAGTAGTACTGTTTCATTCAAAAACTCATTGTTTAATAGATATTGTTATTTCAGATTGCCTGAAAACCTTTTAAGTAACCGAGTCGCAATCTGTGGGAAAATTCTGCAGTTAAAATGTGAGTCATACAATTTCATAAATGTTAGTAAATTGGTATGAAAAGAATAAAAATCGCAATAACTTAAATTTCTGTCAATTTTTTAGCATGCGATATCGTTTCACGACTACAATTTATCTCACCGCGCGCAGGATTGAAGCCATGTTTATGTTATCATAATGCATCAGCAAATTCATGTGGTGTCACAAAATCAGAATCGAACAATGGCGATTAATTGTTCGACTGGATCAGAGTAAAGTTTACATAATACTTCGTGTTCGACAGGGTCAGAGGTAATGTTTACACAATCCACGTGCTTTCATCTTAATTGATAATTGGTATGCAAATATCATAATAGCAGAAGAAGCGTGCCCAAAGAAATATCGTCATTTTCCAAGAGTCCACTGGGGCATACGTGGCAATCGGTAAATTGAATGATTTACGGCACGTAAGACAATACAATTTAATTCCTTTTTTTTTCATACCTTTGACTCTTTTTTCATCCTTAGTGTAGTATTAACGGAAAATTGATAATTTTTGCTATGAAAGAAAATAAAGGCAGTTTTTCCTGCTAATAAGAAAAAAAGAGCTGAGATTAGCAGCACGATACCTAAATAACATCATTTCATTAGTCTGTACGGAATAAATATCGGCCATTGTAAAACTACCTTTTTGAATAAAAAACCCAGTAGGAGTATGAAATTCAGTATGGCATTGAATAATGAATGGAAAAATAGAATATTGTAGTCATAAAATAGTAGACAAAATTGGAAACTTCATAACCAGTATAAACATGAATTTCTTTTGGTCTGAGTTTTCTTAATACATAGAAACAGTATCTTTTTTACTTTGAGCATCTTACCAGGTTTGGACATATTCGGTGGCGGACCAATGGGCTCATAATCGCTATCATCGTCATCTGGTCCTTAAATGAAATATTTGTAAAAAGGTTGATAGGAAAGTCGACCCGGAACTATTAATTCACTCCAAAGGCTAGTACTTAACTGCTTGACCTAAAGGGATGTTACTTTTAGCCCAATAATTAGTAACGACCTAGACTACTAAAGGGGCCGCGGTGGCCAAGTGGTTAAGGCTTCTGCCATTCTGCTACCAATAGCCCTCCACCGCTGGGTCGCGGGTTCGAGACCTACGTGGGGCAGTTGCCAGGTACTGGCCGTCGTTCGGTCGGTTTTTTCCACCACCAAAACCTGGCACGTCCTTAAATGACCATAGCTGTTAATAGGACGTAAAACACAAACAAACCTAGACTTCTTAACTGTATCCTTAGGCACAAAGGTTATTTTCATGAAGAGGTCTCCTCTTACTTGGTACTTCATCACCCACCCACCAAACATATTTGAAAATATAGATTGTTTTTGGTTTGTTTTTGTTTTACGTCCTACTTACAGCTATGGTCATTTAAGGACATGCCAGGTTTTGGTGGCGGAGGAAACCCAGAGTTACCGGAGAAAACCCACCGCAGCCCCCAAAAACTATATCGAATAAGGACAGTGATCAATGTCGAGACAGGATGAGGATGTTAAATGCTTGTGCAGCAGACACTTGAACCTGAAAGAGAGGGAGTAATATTATACAGCACTTATACACACTTGTCACCCCAAGTTCGGTATCGAATCAACTAGGAAGATAATGATAACATATTTTAATATTTAAAGTCCTAAACTTGTCGATGTAAATTTTTCCGGGTTTTACACCCATTGGGATCTTATACTCGATCATTAATAAATTAAAAAATACAGATTCCGCTCAAATCTTTTGTTTATAGCTTTGGCTTATGAAGAAGGACTATAATTAAATCCGATCTGCATAATATCTGTAATAGGAATCTTTCAAAGATAGGAACAAATCTTTACTTTTTTACCTTTATTTTTTAAATTGTTTATATGACTTTCTAACATTCCTCCTCCTCCTCTATGCCCTATATCCAACCTTACCTTTCTCCACGGACAGCTAAGTCAGACAAATATTCGTTATCCTGAAGAACAATTAAGTGTCCAACTTCGCTTATGTCAACGCACATCACTAATATCCCTTAGATTATAATTAAACAGTTGTAAGATTTCACATTTAATACTTATGGACATATTTATTTTAGGTTCTGAATATATGATTTTGGGCAGATTACATATGCAATTGAATAACATTACTAGGTTACAAAATATGTGTTGACGTTTAATACATGTTATGTTAATGTTATGCATAAGATATATTGTAATTGACTTCCTTTTCTTGTGAATCTTATTTTCGCGATATCGACAGTATTTTTAAACATGTATTTTGACATTTTCAATGGGTTTTTTATTGTTCTTAACTTGTTTAATCTTTCATGAAGTAATGACATGTATTCGTGACGTCATTGAAAACATGTTTGGATCTTAATTGTTTCACTTTTTATTCGGAAAAAACAGACATTGAGCATGTTGAGGTTGTTTATCTCTGTACAGGTAGATATAGAAGAAAAAGTACCTGGCTATATGATATTGAACGATTGGAGATCTAGATAAAAGCATTACCATCGATTTCAGGTAAAGAGAGTTGCTAATCCTGTACAGCCTTTAAGGCTCTGATTCCCTTTCTGGTTAACATTGAATATATTCACCAAAGACATACGATTACATTACAGTAATCAGTCTACTAGTTAAGTCACTGACTTAAAAGACAGACTAAAATAATCTTCATTACTTAAGGAAGTACAATGTAAGTACTTACAAGGTATGGTGCTTGTATTAATTTGCTAGCCTACCTCCGACCAACATCATAAGATGCATGCCTATTCCTGATAGAACGGGGCATGAAATAAAGAAATCACGCTTCACTTTGAGAAACTTCGGAAGACGGGACTTCCACTTCGAGGGACTACCTCAGAATGGGTCTCTGAACTTTCGATATTTTTAATTTGCCAGACCACAAACTGTTTGATGTGGTATTACTATTGTTTAATGTAAACTTGAATGTTGTATTGCACTTACTTATGTGTATTACAAAATCATTTTTGACTGTGAAAAAAACTTAAAACGAAATTCTGTATTTTGCCCTAAACCAAAATAAAATATAATGGATATAGGCGTTATCTTTTATTCTAATGATAAAACACATATTGAGGTTTATTTTTTTTGAAGCCTAAGGCGGCTACGCTATTGATTAATTTTAATCTGGTGAATATATTGTTTACAATGATATTCAGAAAGTGAATGTGCTCTTACCTGTGTTGATGAGCAACTACAAGGTCAAACGTGTATTTATCACCAGAAGGATCATTAGATTCCATTTATACGCGAAATTGTTATTGTACTTATTTCTGTATATAATGGGAGCTTATAGCCTAAGTCGATGTAAACTTGCATATCTTGAAATGTAAATTAGGTATAGACAAGGTACAATTAAATAAGCTTGGGTTACCTTACAATAGTGGCTGGAGAGTTGAGGGGGTTAGGATACATGTCAATTCTAAAGTAAATATCAAATACAAGCCTAAATGAATAAATCATCATCCTGATCAGAACGCAAACAAGACATTTAAATAACTTCTTGTATAAATTGAATTCCTCGTTTACGAGAACATGTAATATGTCCCTAGCAAAACCATCATTTCGTCTGTAAAAAGGTAGTGTGGTTTTCGGCGGGTTATTATGTTGACACACAATAGGCTGTGTCATAATTTAAGTGATCTCATTAAAATGATATGTTAATAACACAATATCATTATAGTTATATCACCTAATCATTATAGTTAAATCAACTAATCATTATAGTTATATCACCTAATCATTATAGTAATATCACCTTATCATTATAGTAACATCACCTAATCATTAAAGTAACATCAACTACTCATTATAGTAATATCACATTATCATTATACAGTTGTGGGATCACACAACGTTACAAGATGTGCGGTGTGCGCACGATGTGTGCACGCTGTGTGAACGATGTGTGCACGATGTGCGAACGATAAAAATCTGGGCGATCAAATCTTGCGCACTTTTGTGTGCACGATGGACGAACGTTGTGCGATAACAATCGTGGGTGGTGTAAATTGAGGAATGCCTTAACAATATATACGGTTTCGTGTTTAAACATATAAACCTGATTTTTACGTATGTTTCTATATTCTACCTACACCTATAAACTTATCTTTATATCTATACTTTCTTAAGTTTAGAAATTGTGTTTTTGGTATTTTTAAACGACCTTAATTGACACCTGTGAAATCACAACACAGTCCCGTATACAGGTAAACATAGCCACTAGCCGTCTACATGTACCTGGACGGTAGTTTCCCCCCGCCCGCGGCGCTTACGTATTTCGTCGGGTAGGGCCAGGGGTGTAAAAACACAGGCGAAGGGGAGCTATAAGCAAACCGAATGCAAATAACAAATACTAAACGGTCACTGTAATGCTGTGTTACACGCATTGTACAACTGTACATAATCTTCATTACTGTGATGAGATATTACAATAATACATACAGTTTTCATTATTGCATACGAGCTTTCCGTATTTTTTCATTCCGTAATATTGATCTACAAATTGTACCCCATCGCACAGTTGTGCGGAGAGAAGCGCACAATGGGGCGAACGATTGTTAAATCGCACAGTTGTGCGCACCATGTGTGGACGATGTGCGGACGGTGTGTGAACGATGTATGCACGGTGTGCGCACGCTATTTTTGGTGCGTTGTGCGGTCACACAACTGTAGTAACATCACCTAATCATTATAGTTATATCACCTAATCATTATAGTTATATCACCTAATCATTATAGTAACATCACCTAATCATTATAGTAACATCAACTACTCATTATAGTAATATCACAATATCATTATAGTAACATCACAATATCATTATAGTAACACCACCTAATCATTATAGTTAAATCACCTAATCATTATAGTAACATCACCTAATCATTATGGTTATATCACCTAATCATTATAGTTACATCACCTAATCATTATAGTTACATCACCTAATCATTATAGTAATATCACCTTATCATTATAGTAACATCACCTAATCATTATAGTTATATCACCTAATCATTATAGTTATATCACCTAATCATTATAGTTATATCACCTAATCATTATAGTTATATCACCTAATCATTATAGTAATATCACCTAATCATTATAGTATCATCACCTAATCATTATAGTAATATCACCTTATCGTTATAGTAACATCACCTAATCATTATAGTAACATCACCTAATCATTATAGTTATATCACCTAATCATTATAGTTATATCACCTTATCATTATAGTAACATCACCTAATCATTATAGTAATATCACCTAATCATTATAGTTATATCACCTAATCATTATAGTTATATCACCTAATCTTTATAGTTATATCACCTAATCATTATAGTATCATCACCTAATCATTATAGTAATATCACCTTAACATTATAGAGACAGCACCTGATCATCATAGTGAAACCGCCTTATCATTTTAGAAAACTCACCTACTGACTATATATATATCACCCCATCTTATAGCTTTATCACCAAATCTTTAAAGTAACATCACCTTATCATCATTATAAAGATATCAACGCATCTTATAGTAACAATACCTAATCGTTATAGCAATGTTACTTACTCATTAAATTGGTATTGATTATAGCGTTATTATATAATCATAATCAATAGACACAACACATAAGTACACTTGCAATTTATGTAATATTCCCTTTACTGGTAACCCATATTAAGGTGCCGTACCTGCGACATCAGCTTCACCATACTATTACATAAACTACTTAACAAAGGTTTATACAGTTATTTCTAACATTTTCTTTAGGTTGGTAAGTATGGATTATGAAAAGTTCTTGTTACACTTCCAATAATTGTTTCTATGTGACGTTTCCGAATACGCCGCGATAGGCCAGTTCTAAATCGACATACGAGGGCTCATAGACTCTCGCACATCTATGATTAAACAAAACGTAGCTGAATCAAGTCATTTCGGTACATATATAACAACTATGTACATACGCTTACAGCGTAATCGACATCGATTTCTGGACAACAAGTACACATTTTACACCTTCATTGGCCAGTTGTCTGATGAATGTGACAGAGTACATATCGCATTAGTCATCGAAACGTCACAAAGAACACTTGTGGTTGTGTAGCAAGAGTTTTTCATATGGTTTATACAGTTGTTTTATTGGCTATTGTTTTGTTGCACTTCTTTTCTTTTCTCTGTGCACATCTACATAATATGTAGGTTCCTTTTACCAAGTTATTAAAAACCATACCAACAGTTCAGGAGAAGTTGCGCTGACAAGGATCATTGTCAGATGGACAGGCAGATGGTCTGTGTGATTTCTATATATAAACATACCCCTCAAACTTCATGTGTGGGTGTATAAATAAATATCTTATTGGATATATTTGTTTAATAATTTGCATCGATCAGTATTACATTATCTTATTTTATGTATAATTGGAGATGTCACCGCCATTCATAGATATATAAATATATATATAGAGGGTACTACAAGTTTCCATTTTATATAGGATTATTTATGAATATTAATTCATCAAATATTTTTAATTTAAGCGAGCCTCTGTTGAGCTGGAGGGAAAAAATCATAAATCACTTTAAAACCATTTGATAAATGTTATATATGCTTGTATAACCTATGTATCTACAAATGTATATATAGTAGTGTCATTATTTGTCAATATTGCTTTTAATATATTTGTGGTATTAAGCTATACGCGTTCGAATGTAACCGAAATCAGCCTTCCGTGTAATTTTGTACGTAACGCATTGCGGCAAAACTTTTAGGAAATAGCACGCGTAAATGCGAGTAAGTTAAGGGGCGGATGTGATGTAATGTGTTGTAAACCTGTTTGTCCAGTACGTATTGTCTATGTATAGTATTCCTAGTGTTGAATATTAGGTAGTTTACCTGGCGCACTGGTCACTTTGAACAGAACGGCCAGAGCGAACACAGCTTTATATTTGCACCTATACGTACAGTACTTTACCTAGCCAGCATAGAAATTGAAAGATGTAGCGGGCACTAGAGCCAAAAGCACTAAACGTAAGTACCCGTGTTTAAAATAGTAGTGTAATTCATTATAGTATCTATTGAATAATATATTTAATTAACGTAATATTTTTTGTTTAAAAGTAAAGTTAATATTTTGAAGTCTTTGTAAATTTAGAAATCGGACGTGGTCAATTTAGTAGACAAGTGATTTAATATATGTGTATATTGTTTCCTTTTATAGTGTTTATTGAACGAGCCAGACTGATGACTCGGCGGACGTTGTTCCGAAAAAAAACTCTTCACATTGAAGAGGTGGGTATTTTTACATATTTGTAATTTTGCTGTAGAATTAGATAAAGTGTAAACTGTAATTTCTATATAATATATAGATTGAATGTCAGATTGTAAAATACATATTCAGCTATTGTAAGTTATGTAACTGGCTACGGTCAGGTAGTTGTTTGACATGATTTAGCTTATGTGATTGTATGAATGTTTCAATATGTATAGTTATATGATGTATTTCATGTTACAGGGTTTTTTACAAGTAATATATTATTTATAAGAAAAGAACCCATGAGTTGTCATATATCCAAGCAAAGACGACTATTGCATACATTCATCCTTATCATTCAAGCTAAGACAGATATTGCATGAAAAATCTCTGTTACACGTAGGACATTACTGATGTACCAATATCTGGCTGTACCTACCCTTATTGTTAGACTGTGCCGTTGGTCTTCCTTGTAGGTTACCAGGTGTGCGTTTCTGTGGTCTAGGGGGCACTGGGGGTGGAGGTTTTCTAATATCCTTTTTCATGGGAATAAATAAAACTTTAGGATAATTCACAGTGTTAATAGTTTCTTCGATAACAGTTATAGTAGCATCCGTGTTTAGAGATGTCTTGGCCAATATCATCCCATAGTTGGGATCATCCAGCTGCTGTGGTATTTTAACCTCAAGCTGGGAAGTGGTAGCACTATCGAAAGGTATAACAACAATTTCTGAACCTTGTTTGCCCTTTTCGCTGGTTGACGCTTGTGCTTGCATAAAGGGATTGAGGGTACCAATGTAAACATCCTGTTCCATTACACTTTTGATCTCAATAAATTTGCCGTCAAGGGAAGAATCTTTTACCCTTGTGTAAGCAGTAACAGGCTGGCTTGGTGATTCTGCTTTACAGAATTCCACGGTCTGAGGAAGTGGATATCTGTCGATCAACTCTTGAATAGTGTACTTTGTATTGTCCGACACCAGAAGGCATTTTATCGGTTGTTCGAGACTAAGTTTGTATGTGTATCCATCACAGACACACGACAGCCCGCCTCCCTTCTCAACCTGACAGATTTCAAGGTCAGATTTAGCACTGATAGTGTTACCTTTTTTGTCCGTGAAGGCGTCGATGATACGTACATACCTTGGCCGTTCCTCTACCAGCTGAGGGACAGTTTGGTAGACCTTGTGTCCGGCATCACGACGATAAATGGTCATTTTCCGTTTGTACTCAACAGGAATGCTGATATCATCCTCCGCTAAAGTTCCTGTCTGTTTTCGTTTGCTTAGTGATTGAGTTCCACTTCCATCACCTGACTCCAATACACGACATACAACTTTGGTGATAGTCTTCTTACAGTGTATTTGCAGTAGATCCCCGGGTGTGAACCGCTCATCGTTAATCTCATATATGCCTTTATCTACCTTCACAAGGACTGGGATGCCAGAATTCTCAACAACTTCAGGTAAATTATAAGTTTTCTCCGACCATAAAAGCCTCCATGTCTTTTTGTTGATGGCCATGATTCTAAAGGGAAAATTAAATCAATGAATTCAGCGATTTAGCTATTCATATCCTGTTAGCATATATATAACTGTATGCATAGTCGGCTGTGACTTCTAGTGTTATAGTACAAGTACTGCGCAAGTGGCAACATAATACTTCTATGCCCACACACACACACATACACACCCACACACATACTCATACACACACATACACATACACACCCACACACACCCACACACATACACACCCACACACATACACACCCAAATACATACACACCCACACACCCACCCACATAAACGCACATACACACCCACCCAAACACACAAACACACCCACACACATACACACCCACACACATACACACCCACACACCCACACACATACACACCCACACACATATACACATACACACACATACACACATACACACCCATATCCACACCCACACCCATACACACCCACACCCACACCCACACACATACACACCCACACACATACAAACCCACCCACATACACACCCACACACATACACACCCACACCCACACACATACACACCCACACACATACACACATACACACCCACACACATACACACCCACCCACCCACATACACACCCACACTCATACCCACCACACACATACCCACCCACACACATACACACCCTCACCCACCCACACACACACATACACACATACAACCCACACCCACATACACACCCACACACATACACACCCACACCCACGCACATACACACCCACCCACATACACACCCACACACATATACACCCACACCCACACATACACACCCACACACATACACACCCACACACACACATACACACATACAACCCACACCCACATACCCACCCACACACATACACACCCTCACCCACCCACACACACACATACACACATACACCCCACACCCACATACACACCCACACACATACACACCCCCACACACACACACCCACACACATACACACCCCCACACACACACACCCACACACACACACCCACACACACACACACCCACACCCCCACCCACGCACATACACACCCACCCACATACACCCCCACACACATATACACCCACACCCACACACACACACACACACACATACACACCCACACCCACACACATACACACCCACACACATACACACCCACACCCATACACACATACACACCCACACACATACACACATACACAATACACACATACACCCACACCCACACCCACACCCCCACATACACACCCACACACATACACACCCACACGCACACACATACACACCCACCCACCCACACACATACACACCCACACACCCACACACATACACACCCACACTCACACACACACACACATACACACACACACACAGATTCACACCCACACACATACTCGGAGCAAAGTGATATAACGGAAAGTATTAAATAAAATAAATAATAATTATATTTGAGTTGAATGAATCTATTAGTAAAATTAATTAATTTCTCAACTTTAGATAATATATAAGTATTAATTTCAGCTCATTATTCCCTGATGTAAGTAATTTAAGACTAATACATCCTACTACATTATATATTTCACAAAAATCAAGCCTGAAATCAGAATAATTAGGACAGAATAAGAAAAATGATCAGCATCGCCGCGCGGTGCTCCACAAGAACAACTGCCATCTTGAATAAGTCGGTCAGTAAATTTATCGAAGTTTTAGTCACTTGTTTTGTGCCTGATTTGACAAGTACTATATTAAGATTCCTAGGATTGCACTGTTTAAAGATTAGGGAAATATTATCTACTTGATTATTATAATAGTTATTAAGTCTATATTTGAACGAAGTAAGGGAATTAGCAGATGTTATAGAAGAATCTAATAAGTTCCATAAGTTCATTGTATCACGAAAGAAACTAGTGTTGTAGATATGAGTTCAAGCTTGAGGTACATTAAAGAATCTAGTATTCCTTAATCCATATGGGTTATTAGCATTATTAATAAAAGGTACAATAATATTATAAAGATAGTCAGGTGTTAAGCGGTTTATTATCTTATACATTAGAATTTATTTATGTTTATGACGTCTTAAATTTAAAGTTTCCATATTTACATCAAGATATAGTTTTTGATGAGATGTCCCACTTCTTAACCCGGATATAATTTTCATAGCTTCAATTTGAACAGATTCAAGCATACTAGATTCTCCAATGGTCAGTTATTCCAGATAATATCACCATACTCAAGCATAGGTCTTATATAAGAATACAATAACGTTTCCAATGATTTTCTATCGATTTTATATTTAAGCATTCTCAATATGTTGAGTCTAATACAAGTTTTACTAAAAAATATCATGATATTAGTGGAATTCTACCCTGTGAAATAGTTTTTTGGAAAAGAATTTTTAGAGGTAATATTAGCGAGGGTAATAGCCTATTTTTATTAATTTGGGTGCAATATTTTCAGGTCCTGGGTGTTTATTAACATTGATTAATTATATCTGGTCTTGAACATCCTGATCAGTTATTATGTTATTATCAAATTCAATGTGACTAAGGGGAAGTAAGTCAAACTCCTGGTTTGAAGTATTGATATCATCTGTGACAGAATTAGATATAGATGAAAAGATTTTATTTAAAGCTTCGGCTTTATCAAGTGGATGAATTAAAATATTATTACCTACTTTTAGAGGAGGTGAGGATTTCCTTTTATTGGAAAGGTTACTTACAGATTTAGCTATACGCCACCATTTACCAGGAGGAATTGATTTATCAGATAAGGAATTTTGAAGTTTTTTTAAAATAAATATCTTTAGCTTTTCTGATGAGATCTATACAATTGTTACGTGCTAATCAAAATGTATACCAATCGGTCTCTTTGTTACTATCAACTGCAAGATTAGTACGTATCAGATGTGTCATCCACGGTTTATCATTAGGTCTAATTCTTATATTTTTTTAAGTGATATGAATTTCAGCTAGGGTTGATATTTTATCCATCAGTATGCTGTTAAAATCATCGACATTATCATTGTTAATAATTACTGTTTCCAAATTAGCAGATAGTAGATTTAAACTAATTTCGTCCCAGTTAGCTTCACCAAATTTGTATAATGTGCGTTTAAATGACTTTTTCTTTTAAAACTGTAAAAGACAAGTTAAAAATTATTGGACAGTGGTCACTACAGAGTGGAGAGAGAACTTCAGTATTTTGTACTATACCTATCTTATTAATATAAAACACATCAATACTGGTAGAAGAAGTATTCGTTATCCTAGTAGGAGATTGGATTAGTTTTACTAATTGAAACTTTGTTAATGTTCTGGCAAGATGTGAATTATTAGGTAAAAGTAGCATATCCTGATTTATGCCGCCTGTAGTTATTACATCATAGTTAGCATATATAAGAGTTTTAATTAGGTTGGCAAATGTTGACCAGTACTGTACTAGAGAGTTTGATGGAATATATAAACAGCAAAGTCATTTATTAGATGTGGTAATTCCCAGCACCACGTTTTCCATATTAATTGGTTCTAAATCAGATCTTCTAACAGCATGAGTATTGTTTTCAGTATAAATAATGATTCCTCCTCCAAGTATATCTCTACGATCTTCTCTGAATAAACACCATCATCTATAGTATTGTTCAAGTGATGCAAAAGATGTCAACATCAGCGAATTCAGAAACAAAGCAAATCTAATTTATTACGAATAGACCTGACACTTAAATGCAGTATTGAAATATTATTAGTCGTATATTTATCTGTGATTTTCGGTCCAGGGTTACGATGTACATCACATGACAGTAATATTAGAAGAAGTTGAGTACTCATAAAATAAGAATCATTGTTGAGAGAGAGTATCTGAATAACAATATAAAAAAGGATGTCCCTATCAATCTATGCTCCAGTAGAATGGAAATAAACAATCATACACAACAATACAGAATACAGATGCAACCAAATAGACTACAAGTGCAAGTAGTACTGATATGGGAGAATGGTTTGATTAACTGCTAGCTTCATTAAGGGACAGACATATATCCAAGTATCAAGGGGGGGGGGGGATACAAGAGCAGAAAAGGAAAATGATGTAAAGGGAAAGCACAGTGCAATGAAATTGGATATTATGACAGTTACTAGGGAGAGTGTATAACATGTCCAGACTTAACAATCATATGTTGAATAAATACTGATATGAGAAGGGGTTATCATACGATTTAAGTCCATGAATAAAATACATAGAATAGGAATTCTGAAACAAAAAAAACAACTAATTTTGTTAGACTAATAAAGGGGGGTAATTATATAACTTGGTAGAAGCAATCAGGAACTTATCTCCCTTGGATGGGTTATATTACAACATCATATATCATTGATGAAAACAGGTTAAGAGAATGTATTGCTATCTGATTGATGATCAGAAAACATAGGAGTAAACATATCGTACTCATGTGTAAGTGACATTGTATCAAATTGCTGTAAGAGATCACTTTAACTTAGGTAAAGTTAATCACAGTATAGTTATTAAGAATCAAACATATACATACAGTAGGAAGATTGCTTGATGTTGTATATAAGCAAGTATCATAACAAATTCTCAAAGAATATTCAAAACGTCCTAAAATACTATCAATTAAGGTAATTGGCCAAGTAGTTATAGTATAATTAGTGGCGTAATATTCTTAAAGGATATATGTATCATGTATATAATATATTCAATAAATGATATAGCATGTAATAGTATGCCTTTACCTGAGTAAAACATTATATTTATTATTAAGGATAACGCAAAGAGCTTCTGAAATATCACTAAGAACAAATACTTTAGTATTTGGTTAAAGGAACTAGGTCCTGATGTTTGCCCATAACAATTATCATGGCTGATACAATATAATAAAGTACATATTGCCGTATAAATTAGATACTGATCCCAATATATGAATATTACAACAAAAACATATATTAACATGGTTGAGAAAGAACCCAAAGAGTAGTGAATCAACACATCAGTAAAGGGCAGAAAAATCATAAATATTATCAGACAGGTCATAGCATAGCCATAGGCCTGATAAACAGCATAAAGACACCATGATCACCGAGATCAATCATAAGTATTATTAGACAGGTCATAGCATAGCCATAGGCCTGATAAACTGCAG